GAAGGTTACAAGAAGCAGGACTAAAGTTGAACTTGCCTAAATGCGAATTTTCGCAGAAGCAGATCACGTATCTAGGTCATGTAATCAATGAAAATGGCCTGCAATCTGATCCAAAAAAAATTGCAGCTATGCTAGAATTGCCAAGGCCAAAAGACCTGGCCAGTCTAAGGACTTTTATTGGAATGATTGGCTACCACGCCAGATCTATTCCAAACATCTCATCTATTTTAGCACCTCTATACAAACTTATTCAAATTGATGCATTTAACTGGACCAAAGAAGAAGAGGACGCGTTCGTGGAAGTGAAGCAAGAACTTGCTTTAGATACAGTGTTGACTCACTTTGATCCCAAGTTACCGATCAAGTTAATGTGTGATGCGTCTAATTATGGAGTTGGTGTGGCGTTATTCCATGTGATGCCTGATGGTACGGAAAAACCGGTGGCATATACTTCTAGGCTATGGAAAGGATCAGAAAAAAATTACTCAGTGGTGCACAAAGAAGCTCTCGCTATTTGTTGGTCAGTTCAGAAATTCTATCATCATTTGATGGGGAACAGGTTCATTTTGTGTACAGATCACAAGCCATTAGTTTCCATTTTTGGAGAAAAAAAGGCATACCTCAGATGGCAGCTGGGAGACTGCAGAGATGGGCTTGGCTTCTTAGTGGTTTTAATTATGAAATCCAGTACATAAAAGGTGTAAAAAATCATACAGCAGATGGTTTATCAAGGTTTTCCAGGCCAGAGGCTGATCAAGTGTCATCGTTTAGTGAAGACTACTTCAATTTTATATCTGCTAACTATTTGCCAATTAAAGCTGAAAAGCTAGTTATGGAAACACGCAGAGATCCAGTGCTTGGCGCAGTGTTTCGGTACACCAGAGATGGCTGGCCGATCAAATTTGATGACCAACTCAGGTCGTACGCAGTTAGAAAGGATGAAATTAGCATCGACAACAACTTGATGATGTGGGGCTACAGAGTAGTAATACCACAAAAGATCAGGGAGCAGTTGTTGGTTGAGATTCATGGCACCCACATGGGTATTATCAAGATGAAGGCTATTGCAAAGCAATATTTCTGGTGGCCAAATCTGGACAAGGACATTGAAAACTTTGGCAGATCTTGCAAAATTTATTAATCCTCATCAAACATGCAAAAAAAAGCGACGTTAATCAAGTTTAAGGAAGAGGAAAATCCTATAGACAGAGTGCATATTGATTACCTGGGACCCATAAACGGAAAAATTTATTTGCTGGCAATTGATGCGTTCTCAAGGTGGCCAGAGGTTTATGAGATGCATGTCAACAAAATTGAAAGTGCTTACACCATTAGGAAGTTGAGGGAGTTCTTTGCCAAGTTTGGCCTACCTAAAGTCATAATATCGGACAATGGACCACAGTTTACGTCTGAGCAGTTCGATTTGTTCTGTGTCAATAATGGTATAACGCATCGTACATCAGCTCCATATCACCCTGCGACAAATGGAATTGCTAAGAATGCAGTGGGGGCATTCAAGAAAACTCTCAGTAAGGCTAAGAAGGATCAAACAGGAAACATAACCAGTACAAGCACAGCTATTCAAAGGTATTTGTTCCATTATAGAAATGCTCCACATGCCTGTACAGAAGTGTCACCGGCTAAAAGAATGCTCGGTCAAAGTCTTAGAAATCGGTTAAGCATGATGTGTGGTGACAACACATCCAAGGCTACAGAAAGCCAAATGCGTCATTTTTATGGCAACAGAGAACTAAGTTTGGATGAAGGTGACAAGGTATACGCCAGGGAATATAGGAATCCGGCTAAACCAACTTGGATGTCAGCAACAATTCAGGAAAAATTAGGTAAGCGCACATATCTATGTGCTCTGGATGACTATCAAGAAGTTTCTTGGAAAAGGCACACCGATCAATTAATCAAACTCAACCAATCAGCTATAATTCGGGAGGATGTTCGAAGCACCTGAGAGAGACTCAAAAGATGTGGTAGGAATCAAGAAGGTGAAGGCAAGGCAGAAGTCATTGAAGCTTCTGGGTTATCGGATCAGTGCAAAAGTGTTTGTGAATTAGATAAATGTATTTTAGTTCGACAGGAGTTTGAAAAAGAGAGTGATCGTAGTGATAAAACTATGAGTATGCAAAAGAAAAAAAATTTTAAAGATTTATGATTAAATGTAAACAGTAGACCGCAAAGACAAATCAAAGCTCCTGTAAGATTAGATTTATAGTAATATGTATGAACAAATCCAAATCTCAGGTGTATGTAATTTTAATACTCAATATGTTATGTAAAAAAATATTTTTATGTTTTAATTTACATGCAACTTAGGCAGGGACGAGTGTAGGATATCATTTCTTCAGCATAGCCATATAAGGTTAGGTACTTAGAGATATATGTGCTATAGAGGGAACGCCGTTGGTGCGCATGAAAGTAGTCAGTTAGTATAGTGTAGGCGCTTCTCCCATGCATACCTCCCATGCATACGTAAAGTTTGGCTCATTAAAGTATTTCATGACTACTAATTAAATGTCGTTTCATTTAATATAATGTATTAACCCGATACATTACATGTACAATAAAGTAACACCATTTTAAGTGCATAATTTTTTTGTTTTATCGAATTTTAATCAAGCTTACCCGTATTTTCAATCACAACGAAACAAACTTTACGTTCAACCTTCACCATACTTCAAACGTAAAAAAATAAATAACTTTAATAAAACTTACAACTCTCACTAAGCTTAGAATCATAGAAGAGCTCACAACCATAATAAGACGTATAACATTATTGAAACTTATAACTTAACAACTACATTTCAATTTTTCAGTTAACTTGACTGATTAATAATTAAAACTGATTTTACAACTTAATTTACAGTTTTGGTCAATTTTCCCACCTTTATTAATATTACTGTTATAGATAACTGCCATAGTCAAACTATATGGACTGTACTTTGTTTTAATTTTATTGCAATTTTTTAATTTTTTTAATAAATATTTTCAGTTAATACAAGTTAATGATCTAAAATATAAACAAAATCATAATTACGTCATTTCACAATTAAATTTATTAATCGAATGAAAAACTATCAGGTAGATGTTTTAAATATCGATACACAAATTTGAAGCTTATATTTATTTATTATTCCTAATTCCATAATTTTTTTTTTCTCTAATTAAAATGTGATTTAAATATGACACGTTCATTTAATCTAACATAAAAATAACAACGAAAGTTTTTGAGAGACAGACGAGAACGTAAGGCTGAAAATCAATGTTAGTGAAGACAAGGAACTTGAGAACTTTTTATTGACAGTAATCCTGTGAAAAAAAATACTAAGGTTTCATGAATGTTTTTTGTTTGCACTGCAATGCAAAACGTTTGAAAAATTAAAAAATTTTTGATAAAAGTTTATCTATATAAATATTATCCCTTATTATTTTAGTTGTTACATTACTTACAATTAAAAATTGTTTTACATCAACAATAAATAATTCTAATTTGAGCCAATTTTTTAAGACATGCCATGCAGATACAAAAAATCTTACATAATACCTTTTTAAAGCCATGGGCAAGAAAGAAGTAAGTAAGATTAATCTTTCTCACGTGTACTAATTCAAGTAAAATTCATTTTATGTCGGGTTCATGCTTTAACTCAATAAAAGTCTAAGATTAGCCATCAAATGTATTCTACGTCATTATACATTTATTAGTTAACACCTTTGAGGCTCTGTTCTTCGTTGTTTACCATAGAGATGTTCAATTTTATGACAGAGATTAAAATTTTTTGCATTTCATATAAAGTGAAATTCAACGGACTCAATACTTAATAGTTGTTAATACTTGCTTTCTGTTTAAAAAACAAATAAATTTATATTATGTTTTATTTTAATACTTACTCTTTTGAAATTTCTTTACACAGCTAGAAAAATCCAGTATATGCTTTAAGTATATTTAAAAATAAATAAAACTCAATATATGGAGTACTTAAACATTCCCTTTATTAAAAACACGAGTAACACAGTTACGTATACTTTTCGCTAGACAGTAGCTTTACCAGACGATCATAGTGTCCATTCTACAGCTATTCACTTGGCTAATCTTAGAATATTTATTAAAATAACAACTACGTTTAAATTGAAAATATCTTAACGGTACTCGTAGCGTGCTAATTTAGTTTTTAGTGTTATAAATGTAAGCTACTACTATTGAAAAAGTCATTTTATTATTAAAAATAGTTTTATTCTACTCAGAAGTTTGAGCTCTAATTAACCAGTTAGCATTAGCCATGCTTAGTCCATGGAACCAGAGGGGATGAGTGTAAGGACATAAGAAACATATTATGTCTATCTTACTACCCTAGTCAAGTCTAGATCCACAAACTTAAACAGTTACAATTATTTTCAACATGCAAATACATGTTACGATAATAACCATAGCATGAAACTACAATAATATCTGGGTCGCAAAGTATTACTATCTAAGCTTAAGTGTATGCGTTTGTTTCGTGGTTGAGGTTCTTACGTTATTAGGTAATAAAATAATTTAAACATCACCTATTTAGAATGTTAACCATTGTATCTATGTTAACCATTGACTCATGAGACATTAATAATAACTGCCTTTAAAAAATTACAAAAATTTCTTTGAAGATGATTTTAAAGTTTTTTGTGCTCTTAAGATTAAAAAAGTAGTTGAAGCATTTAGTCTGGTTTAGCCTTTATTGCAGTCTCTACTATCTTTTTAGTTTTAATAACTAAAAATCTAACTTTTTTTACCATTGTTAATCGTGGGTATACTTTTAAATTTAGTTCCAACATGACTCTCAAGTAAGGGTGTAAAAGAGTACCAGTTACGCACACTTATGACAAACCACAAACTTGAATTCTTACATCAGATAATCAGATAATTATAAAAAAAAGTCAGACATACAAAATATATAACCTATTTGAGTATTATATTAAATAGGCAGTCAATAATCTTCCGTATTATATTACAGATGAATAGAATCTCAAATGGTCCATTACAAAGCTGGGGAAGTTTATGTGCAAAATCTGTGAAGCGTTTCCATCAGACGTTTGAAAATACAACATATCAGCCAGAAAAAAACAGTCCTTCTAAAAGTGTCATACTTAAATCACAGAATACATTTTTAAATGAACGACAGCTGACAACTCAAACAGAGATTAAAAAACAGCAAGAATATCAGTTTCAAGATAAACTTAATATTAATAAATGTTTTAAACAAAGGAGCTTGGATTTAAAGAGAAATGATAGAGGATTTACTTATGGTAAAAAAAGTGTGTTTACTTATGTATCATCTCAAAATTCAGTGACGAACATATACAAAAGCCCTTATCCTATAGAGATTAGTTTATGTAATTTCTTTAGTTTATTAAATCAAGAATGTCATACTTTCAAGCATTCAAAATCTAGAGACACTCAACTCACAATTCATACTGAAATTCCGTTTCAAATAAACTTACCACTAACAGTTAAAATGAATTCTCTTAAAATTAATGATATTTGTATAAGAATTGTCCTTGAATCTAATTTACATGAAAGTCAAGTAAATACAAGGTTATTAAATAGAAAATTTATCAAAAGTCATTCAGGAAACTTCTTCATATGGGATATCAAACAAAGAGTTAGTTTAAAAAGTACGTTAATCAAAAAATATGCAACAAATTTTTATGCAATAGTTGAATTTAAAAAATATACAGACCATTCTGTAAGAACAAAGTTATATACTGGCCACGTAAATTTTGGCTACTCCAGTGCAGATAGCGTCATTTATAGTAGTAGTAAGGAGAGCGTAGAGTCACTTCCAAGTAGTATTAGTGAGAGTCATCTCTCGAAAACAAGTAGTAAGAGCAATTACACTGCACGTCTCAGTTTTAATAGCTCAGGTAGTGAAAATATGAAATTTTTTCAACATAGTAGCTTAAAAAAAAAAAAAAAAAGACAATTGTATCTAGTGCGTATGTTAAAACGTGCATTTAATATTTTTCAATACACAATTAATCAACAAGTATTATTACCCATAAAGGACAACTCTCGACAAGAGCGAGATTATAAACATCCAGACAGTATTAGTAGTTGTGATTCGCGAAACATCCCACTTCGAGACACGAATTCTATCATGCTTTGTGACAGTATAACGGTTAATGCAAGACCTTTATCAGTTAATGCATTCATCACTACCACAGACTTATCAGTTAAAAAGCATTTTGCCCATCAAAAAAAAAATCTCATCAGTCTTCCATCACAGCTATCTTCATCAGTTAACACTGAAAATTTAGGCTGTAACCGTGGCTTATTAGTTGAGTTAGAAGTCGAAACAATCGGAAATAAGTCTTTAGTAGAACAGTTTTATAAGATTATGTTTTTACAACCATACCTGCATCAACATTTAAAGCATCTAGACAATAGAAATCAGCTACTGTACAAAAAGAAAAAGCTTCCAGAATTCCTATTATCAACCCAAAAATTAGGTGAACATAAACAGCTGATTCAGTTGCAAAATATTGTAACTTCAAATAGTACTACTAGTATGGAATTTAAAGACTTACCTTTTGATATGCCCAAACTGAAAAAACGCTTAGAACCAACCGAAAGCATTAAACTTCGTTCATCTCAAAAGTCATCAGATCAATCAACCCAAGATGTGAGAGTTACTTCAATACGTGGTAAGGATGTATTTTATTTAATAAGTCGATGTATGAAGCTATAAAACTAACTAAAATATTTTATATGATGTATTTTGAGAAAATTTGCATTTTTATTACGTCATGAGAAAACTTTGAAAAAAAGTTAATTTTAAATGTAATAAATATATTTGTTAAGTACAGTGTTCATGGTACTTAATGAATATACCTTAATTACAGTTTAATATTGTTAGTTGCCAATATAAAAGAAGAATGTTCTTACTTAAATACACAAAACTTTACAGTAACGTTAATCAAACAAACCCAATAGGTTGCGAGGCATATTCGAGAATACTTTCAAAAAAATATGGAATACTTTTTATTTTGTTTCACAAGTCAGTTAAAAGTATTTGCTTGATTGATAAGTAGTGATAACTCATTAGAATCACATTGTATTTTGTATAAGCTAATAACTTTTTAAGTAAATGAGTCAGTTCCTTATACAGCTGCTTGTTTTTTAAAGTTGGATTTCAAAAATATTTATTGCATTGTTTACATGTACTGGTAATATCTGCTAGGACATGTTAATGGCTATGATATGCGGCTCACGAGTTTCCAAGCTTAGCTAAGAGTGCACTAGAGAGAAAACTTTCTCGTTAGCAATAGAAAGTATTTTGGTGCATATATTTTCCAAACATGATGCTGCATACACAGATATACGTTCTGTTCTTAAATTTTTACCACGTTTATTTTAGTCATTTTTAAATCTAGGATTTAGGGTGTTTGCTGACTAATGAATACATTTTTTTATGCGTTAAGTAGTAGTCGTATTTAAGTTTAGCTCAGATTTTTCTTTTATGCATTCGTATTCACCTACTGTGGAACTGTACATTTTTTAGAAAATAATAAATTGTTTATAGTGTGATACATGTATAGTCCCTACAAATGTAACTATATTTGTTCAGATAATACGTTCTGACTGCAGTTGTAATGCTCCTAAATAATTTATTGCTTTTCTATACAGAAATCTTTGTAACAACCAGAAAATGATGTATTGGGATAGCATGATACAAATGTCTTTCTCAAAGTTTTATGACGAAATATAGGAAGGGAGATTCCTTTTATGTAAATGGCTAATTGTAATCAGTCGTATTTCACGATTTTTTGAACCAAGTTTAATTAAGCTTTATTTTATTTATTTATTTTTTTCATTTCTGGCTGTGTGTTTAAATAACTAAAAGATGTAAGTTTTATTATTTATCTTTTATTTAATTGAATTTTATTGGTTTTGAAAAATTAATCGTCAAAAAAACCTTATTTTTTCACCACTTCCATCGTTTTTGGAAATTTTATACCTCAGAATATTCTAAAACTACAAGATCGTCAAATTCAACCGATGTCTTAGTGATTCACAAATTACAAATAACACTGTATGTATGGTCGAGTTCACTCCCAGGTCATTAGAACCAACGAGTGGGCTCATGTACATACAATGATTTCCAAGTCTATAAGAGACAAAAAATCTTAAAATCAAGATTTTATATTATGTTAAGTGTGTGTACATAGTACTGTACCGAACTTCCTAGGGTCGATGAGCTTTAAAAGCAAAATATCAAACTATACTCATTGGGATCAATGAACCTTGAATACTTCGTACAATTGTTCATAATCCATGCCTTGCACAACAGTAATCATGTTTCATTGGTGTTTTGTTTACCTTTAGATAAAAGAAAAATCTCATATGAACTAGTACTTTTTTTTTAAATTCTAAATATGAGAAAATACATATAAAATTTAAACCTAAAACGGTCTTCGTCGATTTTGAGTTGCCTATTCATACAAACATACGTAACGTCTTATCAACAACAAAAATTTGTAGTTTTTATTCCCATTCAGGCCAAAGTTAGTGATGAAAAACTAGGGATTTTTGACTAAGTGTTGAGTATAAAAACCAAGGTTCAGAAATTAGTAATTTTTTAAAATGTTTCTTTTGTTTACCTTTTCGTAATCCAAGTGAGATTAAGGATTGCTTTACAAAGTACTTAATATATATCATGCTGAATGACAACAGAGTGGAATCATTTTATAACGATATCATCCATGAGTAGAGTGAAGTACCAAGATCTCTGACTATTTGTGCTAACTTCTCATATACTCTCTGTCACGCAACAAATAAGGGCAAGTCATTTTACTCATATTTTAACAGTACGTTTTACACATCAAACCCCAACGTATTTTAGTTTACAGAAGCATTAAAAGAAGTTCAAATACATGTGTACATTGAAATGCGACGTACTAAAACAAAATCGAAATGGAATGCAAGCAAAAGAAACTTTTTACAATGAGAAGCAATACAATTAAAATAATAGTTTTTTGACGCGATATCAGTAAAATAAGGCAGTTAAAAAAAGTTCTCACCAAAAGTTGATTCTTTGGGAATAATTGTATTAATCTCTTAAACGTACTGGTATCTAAATAACTTTTAATGGACAGTATTATGATCTTTTTAAGCATGCTGTAAGCAGTCCGAATCTTATATCAAGTGCGATGAAAGAAAAAAAAAAAATTAGTTAACAACTCTGTTAAATAATTATGACTATAATTTTATCCTGCCTTAAATTTGAAACACAAGGTCTTACGCTTCTTTACAGGTTGCGGAAGTGACAGATAGTCAAACTATTAATTTGTTTATTGGAAAGACAAGAAATAAAGTTTCATAAAATATGCGTGTTAAGGTACCTTTCTTTCTTCTAGCAGCTTTGGGTGGATCGGGTTAATAGTTTGAATAGCTTTCCCTTTCTTCAAATTATTTGGAATTGATTCATTTTAAATGACTCTTCCAAAAAGACGAAGAAAAGAAACGAATATTAAGGCACTCTTTAGCAAGTTACATTAGTAACTAAGTTCTGCACTTGAAGAGTGGCAGCAGGCTACTGACTAAAACGCCGTACGAAGAAATGCACCTCACGTGAAGTTTTAATCGAAACTTTTTTTTTTTACATACTATGGGGCTTGCACTTGCTGACTTAAAGTGGCTTAGCAGCTCGCTTTAGTTGTTATTTAACACTTCCGAGAGCCACGGAGTATATAGTCATCTGTGCTAGGGGACGACTTACGTTAAGGATGACTTTTATAAGAGCCATAAAATTTCATCAATGAAAAAGAAAAAAATAATTGTGCAAGTCATCATTTAAGAACCTTTCTTTCTCAAAATAATCACCATCCTTGGTAAACATATATATTAAAGCCACCTTAGTTAAGGTAAGAAGTGGATCGTTGTAAATAGAATACTTCAAAAATATTTAAAAATTTTTAAACTAATTTCTAAAAATGATGTAATAGCGTCTGAAAAGCATTAGTGTCCTTCAAGGGCTCATGTAATATAGGTTAGTTTAAGTTACTTTCTACCTAATAGGTACATTGTATCTGAGTGATGATCTTATGTTCACTAGTTAAGGATAGTCTCAGAGTTTTTTCCGTACTTCCATTATTTGTTCGTAAAAAAACTATACCTTATACTCTTTCTTGTTAATCCATTTTATTAGGAATGATAGTGCCTAATTATTCTTCATAAAGTGTCGATAATAACCTTGAATTATCAGCTGGTAAGTAAATCTATTGACTTTCCGTTTTCGGAGTTGATGCAATTCCAGTATTTAAATACTTCTATTCAAGGTTATAATGGAATAAAAATTTCACATTTGTTCGTAGAATATGGTTGTTTCAATGTTTCTATAGCTAAGCATATATAACCATACACCGTTTTATCACATTGGTTTAAAGTAACTTCGATTACTCGTAGATGGGGAGAATCACGTCAACTGTCCCAGCGCCGCGGTCCCCAGATACGAATTATGGTCTGCTGATACTGCTAAGTAAGGGTCTGATAGTATTATGTTGGCAGATCTATTTTGTCTAGATTATGTTATCATATCTGAATGTTGTCTATAAAGATTATAAGGAGTTTGATCTACGAGTCTCTAATGTAATATTACCATGGTACTATTTTCTAGATGCGCAAAATCTAATTTGCTTAGAGTGCTTGTTTCACCAGTATAAAGATTCTCTATTCATGCTACAAATTCCGGATTTCCTGCTAGTTCCCTTACATCCTGGGCTACGGTTCTGAATATATTTGGAAAAAAAAAACTTTAGATGTGCTTGACCTCTTTGTTATATATGCAAGATGTCAATCAGATATTTATGGGATCGAATAATTTAATCTAAGGTAGGCTCAGTTCTTTTAAAGTTAGTTGATAAATGTATCAGATATCTGTCGAGAGTAAAATCTTGTCCTAAAGTCAATATATCAGCAACTCATTTAAGAATATGCTCATGGCGTGTCGTAGCGAGATATAGTTTTTTTGAATGCAGCTGAAAAAATATGGCTATTTTTTTCACAGAATTAAATATATTCTCTTTGGTTGGCACGGAAATAGTCGATGTTAGTGTTCATAACACTGACATGGTCTTCTGTGACGAATAATATTATCTCCCGCATGGGGTCTCACAGTATTTATTATGTTTAATGCTTCTGCCTTAAAATTTTTCAGTCGCGTTATCTTCAAATTTAGGAAAACTATTTCCGTATAATAACTACTATTAGGATAACACAATTGTGCCATATATTATCAAAAGATTTTATTTAATCCTTGAGTAAACGTGTGTTCCAATAAAAATTTATCAAAATCAAGCCATATTACTATCTTTCAATCAGCTCTCTTAATTTTTGTAACACTGATTCACACTATATTCCGAAGTTCGTTTTTAGTGGTTCTATTCTACAGTTGGCATGACTGGCATACTTTCAATCTGCACAGTTTTCAGGCACTGTTATTAGTACGATAGCGAATATAATCCAGATCGCTATTTTTTTGTGGAAGATATGTAGTATGTAATTCTTACAAGAATGCTAATATCAGAAAACTAGTTCCAATTTATCTGTGTGTTTTCGTATGATTTCTCTTACTTTGAACCGTTCTTTTACTGTTCAATTAAGTTCAATTAACAATTTAATTGTTTTAAAGAATTTTTAACTATTG